GTTGTTCGCTAGGCTACTGCCTTCCACTCGGCTCCTGCCCTCCTTTCTCCCGGGCCGGGCGACACCGGGTGGCGCCAACTGCAGTGTGTGTACAAGCGGGAGAGCGCGCGGGAACACCCCTCTGCCACTACACAGGAACTCGGCTGTTATTCATGGAGAACTCTGGGCGAACACGCCCCCCTCGGGGTGACCGCGATTATTGTGTGCCCGGCCCACGGCAACACACACCCCATTCCTGCGCGAGGGGGTGGACCTTTAAAACCTTCCCACTCACCCCACCCGGAGCAGCTTCTGTGGCCAGACTGGCGAGTCCTGGCGGCTCTGAGCCCTGTTGTCACCCCCTCCTCCGCACACGGCGATTTTCTGGGGCACGGTGTGTGGCTCTGGATCCGGGATACCCAAGACGCCCCTGGCCCCAGCCATGCCTACCCCCGCCGGGGCGCAGAGGGGTGTGTGTGTAGTGTGCAGTGTGTGTGCACTGCTCCCTGGTCTTTCCCCATCCCCGGGGTCTTTCTATCCTCTCCACGCGACCAGGGATTTCGAGCCTACCCAGGCCTCACGCGGCTGCAGGGCCACAAACGGGTGCCCACCGCCTACCTCGGTCCCCAGCTCCCGGAGCGCGGGCTCCGCACGGCTGTGCGCTTCCCTCTGTGTGCTTGGCGCCTCGGCAGGACTGGCGACCCATGGCAGCGCCGGCCGGCGTTTGTTTCCTCGGGCTCCCCGGGCTCCGGGTGTGCTAGGCGCTGGGACACTCCCCTCCCTGGCTCCTCCCAGCCCTCCGCGCTTATGTCACGCCGCTGCCGCAGCCAATGGCTGTCCCGGAACTCAGCCTGGCCTTTCGACTTCCCCGGTTCAAACCTAAAAGCCCGAGGCTCCCTCCCCAGCGGCTCCCTGTGGGGGTACCCGACGAAACTGGTCCTGCTCCGAGGAGTTGCCCCCCGCACGGTGCTCCCCTGTGCTCTGGAGGGTAACCAGACTTGGGCTTCGCAGAACCAGGAGCGCATCCCCTCCCCAGGGCCCAAGAGAAGGCCCTCTGTAGGCTCTTCCAGTTTTGAACAATGGTAAGACCTACTCCCCACCTAGCCCAGGAGGCGTCCCTCGCGCCCCCACCAACTCCCTCCAGTACCAGCTACCCACTTCTGGGCCCGGGACACTGGGGATTCCGTCTCAACCTGGAGCGCGGGAGGATCAGGCCCGCCTGAGTCCAGACCCGCACTGGACAGTAGTAAGGGCTTCAGTAAGGTGAGCTGACTTTGATAGCTCTGTCTGGAGACCACGGGCACCTTCGGTACCCTCCGAGGGTACGGAACCTCCCGGGAATAACTCCTGAGTTCTTGGACCAGATACTTTGAGCAGCAGCCATCATCGAGCTGTCTTCTTTGTAGAGGGAGTTCCAGCTACGAATGATCATTAAAAGAAATAAATGCCGGCGGCCGTGAAATAGTCAACAAAGGGAAAACGGACCCAGCCTAAAGTCGAAGTTCCCCAACTACTTGAAGGAGGCCCCATCCTCCTCTCTCCCAGCGTTGCCTCATGGCCCCCCTCAGCTCCTTCAGCGTCCTCTGCAAACCCTGCCTTCTCAGGATCACGCCTCCTTTTCCTGTCTGTCCGAGAAAACGTCAAACTTTTCGTGTGTGAAAATCAAATCCAACGGTTGGTTGCCTGGTCTAGGGGCCTAGCTCCTGCGGCAGAGCACGAGGCTAGCTCGCACTGCATTCAAGCCCCAGGACCATCAACAACCAAAAGTTAGTGATACTAAAAACGGGGTCCAAAGCAGTTAGGGAACGGGTTAGCCCTAGGGTTCTGACCCCGATTGAATTACCATGGGGGAATTTATAGCTCCTCCTCCAAGTTCAACAAACCCTGAGGGTTGTCCAGGAGAAACCTGGTGTAGACTATAAAGCAGTGTCAAATGGAGTCATAGGGTCAGAGGTGGCTCTAGGACAAGCTAGTTGGAAAGAATTGGGGTTGCCTCTGTCTTAAAATCCCAACTCTGCTCCCTCACAAGCTTGCAAGCCTTTTCATGTGTACAATGGGCACAGCACCCCAAATGTTCACATTTCCCTGATGAAGGTGCTGGCAGATGCAGGCTCTTGATGGGCCTCCCACGGGTGCTGTACCCCCGTGGTTCCCTGCTGGACACCTCCGTCAACTCCTGGAGTCCCAGGACTTTTTCATCTGGTTTTCTCTGAGACTTCTCCCTATCCCTTGCCTCTTTCATTTCTTTCATCTCTTTCAGGTATAGTAAACCATTTGGGAATGCCAGCCCACCTCAAGAGCCAGCTATCCACCACAGTTAGGGAAGGGGGTACACGGTCCCCTGCTCACTACAGAAAAGTGGGTCCTTTTCCTGCTGGTGAGGTCCCTAGGTCATCCTGGAGCTGGCTCTGTCCCCAGCCTGGCCCACAGGCTCCATCTATTCACGTAGCTACTGCAGGCGTTCCCTTCCTTCTTTCAGTCCCTTTGAAATTCCTTCTTTTCTTCCAATTCAAGCTTCTGCCACAAACATTTGAAGTTAGCGGAGGTCTGTGGAGGACAAAAGCCACCTGGGTCTCAGTCCTCAATTTGCCTGGTGGAAACTGGTTCCTCTCCGAGGGGGGTCTAGACGCCTCCTTCTAGCACTCATCCAGGGTGAGAGGATGACCAAAAGGAAATGCTGATTTCTCCCCACTTTTGACAATCCCAACCCTGTCTGTCTTTCTCCCAAAACTCGACAGAGTAAATTTCACCCCAGCATTTTAGGCTGGTACCACATGTGGATAGTCAGGTGAAATCAACCAGACTAACTGGAGGCTTAAATGCCTAGCTGGAAGTTCTGGCAAGCGTTAAGCCCCAGAGTTTGGGGAGGGATTTAAGGTCTTAACTGAACCTTTAAGGTGTAACCTGACCTATAAGCCTTTAGGCCTGGGCATATGTCTCCTCCTGTCCCAGGCTGCTGGAGCCTGCCTTTGGAGTTTGAGCATGCGTGATTCCTGCAGCTGCATGGGCCTGTCCCTCCAAAACAGCCCCTAACCCCGAGGCATATCTCTTGGTTGTTATGTTATGTTAGTTCACCTTATGTTGCCTCAGACTCAAAAGGTTTGGCTAATCCCACTTCTTTACTGGGGAGCTGGTGAAAACCACACTCAGTCTGCTCCAGTGTTTTCCGTAGGTGTGGTTCTGGGCGGGTCACATCTCCCTTCTTTGCAGTGCAGGGATTTGAACCTAGGCTTGGTGCATGCTAGTCAAGCACTCTACCATCGAGCTATGCCTCCCAGGCCTCACTTCCGTCTCCAGAGCTCCTTCCCAGGAGAATGCTGTTATTCTCACATCTCCTTCTATCCCGGACCCTCTATCACTGACATGCAGCAGACCCGAGGCGCTGCAACAGAATCCTCCAGAGAGCCCGCTGTCTTGGAGCCTGAGCAACCCAGGTCAAGAACTATTGTCTGTGACTTGGGCTCTAGGCTAATTCACTTTCTTGCCTCAGGACAAAGACCTCTTCTTGGAAACCACCTGGGGCACCTCCAAGGTTTGATCTGACCTCTACGGAGCACCTGGGAAAATCCCCAGGATAACCAAATAGTGCATGGCCCTCAAGACAGGCAGGGCCTTCCCCCCCCCCCACTTGGAACGGTTAAAGTACCTCATCTGGGAGCCCTTTGAGCCAGGCTCCAGGCCCATGACATATCTGGGGTCCAGGTGCCCAGAGCTTCCCAGGAAGCCAGACAAAGGTTCCTCCTAAGTTTCCTGGAGCCATCAGGGAGTTGGACTCACAGTTTGAATCTTCCAGAGGGTAGGTAGTTAGCACCTGTTTCCAAAGGAATGAATGATCAGAGGGCAGAGCTGGCTTCTCGCATTTTCTGTAGCTCATGCATCCTTCAACTATGGTGGAGTGTAACCATGGGGGCTGAGAAAAACCTGACTCTAGTAAAAAGTGGTGTCTGAAAGCATAACGACTGAAATACACATAATGAATTCAAGGTGCTTCCCAGCTCAGCTTGCCCTTGTAGCATTGCATGACTCCACTGCAGCCTTGGTGCTGAACACAGGGCACCTGCTCTTTGCACAGTGTATGCTGCCACACCACAAAATACCAGCATATGCTGCCTCCACTCCACTGGTTTTAGACAATTGTACGTTATGAATTGCAATGTGTTTACTGTACACACACAAAGCTTTCTGCTGTTACAGGTGAATAAAGATCAACTACAATGACTTTTTTCCCCCTTGAGTCAGGGTTTATCTGTGTAGCCCTGGCTGTTCTGGAACTCACTATGTAGACCAGGCTGGCCTCAATCTTACAGAGCTCTGCCTGCCTCTGCCTTCCAAGTGCTGGGATTAAAGGTGTATGCTGCCACCACCCGGCTATAAATGACTTTTAATGTTTTCCTACGAATGGAGCTGGAGAGGTAGCTTAGCAGTTAAGAGCTCTTCCAGAGGACCTGGGTTCAATTCCCAGCACCCCCTATGTAACTCTAGTACCAGAGGTTACAGCGCCTCTTCTGGCCTCCCTGAGCATTGAACTCACAGTGCACAGAGCTGCATGTAGGGAAAACACCCATCCACATAAAAATTATTTTTTTAAGTTTTTCCTATTATTCCCCAGCACGTAAGTATCAAATTAGTATGTCTT